TATAACAAGGGGAATATTATATTTGTGCTGGGGAGGGGGTGATGTGCAACGTTGAGAAATGTATTATTGTGTTTTAAGCTGCCCATACACCTTACCACCATCGCACGACTTTCGTTGTGCGATGGATGTTAAGGTGATTAAAATTTAGTACGAGCTGCCCATCTTGGACAGGCAGATCGTACTTGCGATCATCGCAAGCCCTCCCTGCTGAGGGGAGGGCTTCTGATATTTGCAGTGTAGAGCATGCAGTGAGCGCTTGCGGCCCGTGCGGCATTAGTCTTCCGACCACGCCACCAACCCGCCAAGAAACACACTAAAGCCAAGCACATAAGAGGGATGCCAGACCATGCAATATTTTAAACAGTGGAATCAGACATGCCCACTTTAAAGGCATCAGCACTGCCGTGGCCTGTATGCAACACTCTAAAGTGGCCCTTTGGCTGGGTTCACACCTGGGCGTTCCAAATAGGGGCGTTTTATGCTCGTTTTTTCAGCACGTTTCAAATCAAGTTTTTTTGTTCACTGAAACGCGCGTTTGACGCTCGTTTTTTAACCTCAATGGCGGTATGATTTTTTTCCCCCTTTTTTTTCCTCTATCTATTCTTTTTACTCTTTTAAACTTTCCGCCGGTCCTGCCCCCCTGCGAAGCGGACGCTCGCAAGGGACGGAACCCGGTAGACGGCAGCGGCCGGAGGACACACCGGGGATTGCAGACAAGGTAAGACCTACGCTGTATTCCAGAGTGTGGCTCGGGGTTACCGCTTTGTTAACCCCGAGCCAGACTCGGGAATACCAATGGATACGCGCTGAAATACGCCCCGCTTTGTTAATCCCGAGCCAGACTCGGGAATACCAATGGATACGCGCTGAAATACGCCCCTGTACTATTTCGGATGTAGGGCATTTTCAGTGCGACAGATCGTGCTGAAATACGCCCCGGTGGGAACCATGACCATAGCACTCAATAGGATTTCACTTGAGCATTTTTCAGCGCTTCGATCAGCGCTGAAAAACACCCAGGTGTGAACCCAGCCTTAAATCCCCCCCGACTAAAAATAACAAACAGCTCTGCATGCTAAAAAGAAATGATCTTACATTGATTAGCTAAACATTTTTTTTTCCCCCACTTACTGGTCCACTTTCGCACAAATTATGTAATTAAGCACAAGCATTGCATTCTGGGAAGGTTACATCAGCAGAGCATTGCTTGGAAACCTCATCTGTAATCTCATGAGATCTCAGGGAAAGGCATTTTCCTCCCCTGGGATAATGTGCATGGTCACATGTGCCACAGGGATTTCTTAAAATGATTGGAATGTACATGGCTTAACCATACTTAAATCTATAAAATTATTCTACAGTTTTTCTTGTGTTTAAGAAAAACAAAAATGTTACCTGAAGACACATCTTCTTTCTTTGTTATTATGTGGTCCTTAGTAAATTTAACTCTTTGATGTGCTTCTATACAGGTCTTACAGAGCCATTCTCCACATTCCCCACAAAAGCCAACAGCACTTGCATTATCTTCACAGCTTGTACAAACCTAATCCAAAAAAAAAAAAAAAGCATTCAGATTAATTTAGACTTTATGCACATGCCGAGGGGTAGTGATGAGGGAGAAAAACATTAAAAATTGCTGAAAAGTTACCTGGAGCGTTACCTTGCATACAAAAACTCTGTATTGTACTTGCATTTATGCTTTCTTATTAACTTACAGCACTAGTAGCAAATAAACCATAGTAGCAAGGTCATTATCCCCATATTCGGTCTAAAGATGCACATACTGAGAATTTTTGTAATCATCTGGAATAAACTGCAACCTTGGTAGTTAAAGTAGAGTTTAATTTTTAATGTTCACTTTACTTGAAATTGTTCTTTAACAACACCCTGAGGAGGGCTCAACAAATCCCAGGTGCCAGGTCGCCAATGCGACTAGAAATTGTGTCCTGGTGCCTGGGCTTTTGTCAGCCAGTTCACTGTACCTGTGTTTCTTCTCCCACTGCCACCACAATAACTTCCATCCTCCTCCCCGCTGCAGACTCAGACTTTCAACAGCCTCTCCTCACAGGCTGTAAACGGCTACAGTGGTCTGTCAGCCTGTGAGGAAAGATTGCTGACAGTCTGTAGCGGGGAGGAGAACGGCATAGTTTTTGTGGTGGCAGCAGCAGCGGTTGGAGAAGAAACAGAGGACCAACATCGCCTTATATCCATTACAAGGGGTGGGAGTGTCTTGTACTCTACAGAAGGCAGCTGGGAAAGAGGGATAGCAGTTTTTCAGTTCAGCGGACAAGAAGTCACAAGGACCATGAAAATCTAGAAAGATCTAAAAGTATTTTCTGTACTTACAGAAAATGTACTTCACCTGACAAAAGAAAACAAATGCAGCTACCAAATCAAAAGTGCTGTAATATATCACATTCTTGTTTGGGAGTTTAAGTATCTTAACAAGCTAAAAATAAAAATGCAGAAAGCAATTTCTAATGTACAGTAGCAAAGCAGCCAATAAACAGTTTTTACATTTATTCTAAAGCAATGGTAGCCAACCAGTGGTCCTCCAGCTGTAGTGAAACTATACATCCCATGATGCATCTCTCTCCTGGAGTCATGTCTGTGGCTGTGAGAATATTGCAATGGCTCATGGGATTTGTAGTTCCACCATAGCTGGAGGACCACTGGTTGGATACCACTGTTGTAAAGCACACGCATGCAACAAAGCACAAACCAGGCATGAAAAAAAAGCTTGGAGTTATTACACAGAAGTATGAATGAAACCTACAACCTTTTCCCCATTAGAAAATGTTTAAATATGAATTGTATTGTATGTATTTTAAAAACAAGATATTGTATATGAAAAAGTCATCCTTGACAAGAGCAAGATACCTACCACCTACATCAGCTGATTTCTATAAAGTGAACAGTCCGAGTAATTAAATATCCCAATATCTGGGTCCATTTATAGCACATGCATAGCTAGCTGAAAGGAGTCAAGATTAGACAACTCCCCCTTTCTGGTTTGCTAGCACAAATGGTCAAAAGCAAGCAAGAAACCATGCTGGCATCACCAATTTAAAAGCCCAGTAGGCTCTGCAAAGTATCATGGAAGAAACTGGTACTAAAAGCTTATTTTTCAAACAAAATTCTTTCATACAAGTGTGAAATATCTGAATCTTAGTTTTTAAACTTGCAAACCCTTTAAAAGATACCCTGTCACAAGTCCTCAAAGTTAAAATTAAATATCTGTAACAGAGCAGTGTCAGATCCCTAGTTGCCTCAGCCTTGCTCCTACATCACATGTGTGTTGCTCCCGGCTCAGACGAGTTGTCATATGACAGTGCTGAGGCTGACAGCAGAAACTGGGCAGAAAGGAGAACCACAGCAACAATAAGAGCCAGAATTATGCTTTTATACACCAGTACTGAAACATACTACGTATTGATTCAGAGCTTTAACTGTATATTTTGCTATCACATAGGGGAGGGTTTATTAGCCCCCGTATGTGATAGCAATAAAGTTTAGTGAAAAACAAAAAAAATTAAAGTCCCCCCGAAAAATTTTAAGTTACACATAAAAAGGAATGTAAAAAATTATTTTTTTTTTTAAAGTCCCCACCCATACATACACGCATGCATACATGCGTCGGGGGCGCATACGTGCAAAAAAGACGATTGCGCCCATTACGCCGCATATGTTACATATCGCCGCGAACGTCGCAGTGAGAGCAATAAGTCTAGGGCCATCAATCACTGATAACACTAAACTGATGAGCGGTAAAAACGTTTAAAGCGTCGCCTATGGCTAATTTTGGTTGCGGTCGTTTTCTGCGATGTCGCGGGTGCGCGCAATTTTAAAGCTTGACATGTTTGGTGTCTATTTAACCGACGTGACCCGATCTTTTATATTTGACCAAAAAACTGGGTAATAATCAATGTTTCCTAACAATGTTAAAAAAAACTTATTTTTTTCACAATTTTCAGTAATTTTTCCTAATTATAACAAAAAATAAAACCCCCAGTGGTGATTAAATACCACCAAAAGAAAGCTCTATCTGTCCCCAAAAAATGGTGTAAAATTCATTTCAGTACAGCGTTGCATCAACGTCAAAGTATCGCAGCGCTGAATACTGAAAAATGGCCTGGCCAGGAAGGGGGTCTAAACACCTGGTCTTGAAGTGGTTAAGGGCTGCTGTTGTCACATCCAGCAGGTGTTTGAGTTCCGCTTTATCTGCAGCACAAGGCAGATCTATACTGGACAGTGGATTCAATGTTATAGGTTAAATGCTTTAAAAAGCTGGAGGAAAACCCTTTTAAAATTAAGGTCTGAGCAGAGTGGCTCTTTAACAGCTTCAGCCCGTCAAAAAAACATCCTGGTCCTGAAGCGGTTATACCAAGAACACAGCTGCTGCAGCTGTATACTTGCTTTCATTTTAAACAGCCGGTGATGGGCCATTTAGATACAAGTACTTGTACGGTGCGGCCGAATGAGTTTCCCCCCGCCCCCACCCCTCCTCCCCCAGGCTCCGCTGTCCCCTGTGCAGGCCCAGGACCGGCACTGCGGGTCTCCACCAACGATCAGAGGGAGATCAGCAAGCTTCTAACCGCAGATCTCTCCTCCGATCACTAGACCCGTAAGTGATGTATATTACATCACTTCCGGTGTCACTGTGTACATTCTTCGGCTCTTGGAGCCATGAGTAGAAGCTGGTGAAGCAGATCTCTGCTTCATCAGCTTTTCTTTGGGGTCCCTAGATTACATTAGGGGTCTAAAACACCCCTTGTCTCCATAAAGTAGGACCTGTCACGTAATTTTTGCTATTACATAGAGTTTGTTTGCCCCCTATGTGATAACTTTATTGCCAAGAGCAAAAGAATGTAAAAAAAAATTTAGTGACAAACTTTTTTTTAAATGAAAAAAAAAAAAGAAGTCGCCCCCACCCCCACCCACAAACAGACGTCGGGTGTCTTACGTGCAACAACAAGAATTGTGCTACACGTTACATATCGCCATGAACGTCGGAGTAAGCGCAATAATTCCAAGGCCATTAATCACTGCTTACACTAAATTGATGAGCAGTAAATGCTTTTAAAGCGTCGCCTATATGAAATTTGGGGTATTGTAGTTTTTTCCAGTTTCACAGACGCACGCAATTAATAAGGCTTGACATGTTTGGTATAAATGTAACCGGACTTGACCACACCTTTTACATTTTACCAAAAAATGGATATTCTATTCTGTTTCTGTGCATTAAATTTCATTTTAGTCTAAAATACTGGTTTGATGAACATTTGAGCAAATACCGTGCAACAAAAAATTGGGGGTTTGAAGCGTTTTTTCTAGCCAAAAATTCAGATTTTATCATGTGTGCGCAAATAGTAAGATATTGCCTGGGACAGCAAGTGGTTAAAAGGTATAACTGACTCTCTTGGGACTACAAAATGCACACAACCAGTTCACTATACTACCAGAGAAATAAAACATATGTTAAATGTCCTACCTGCTCAGACTTTTCATCAGTGCTGTTTGGGGAATCAGAGGTGTCTTTCACAAAATAATTTTCCACTAGATCTATTTGTCTGCATTCTTGTCTGCAAACTGGACACCGTATTACGCCAACTATTAAAAAAGAATGAAAACATAGTTAGTGCAAGGTAAGCACAACACCATTCACATTTCCATGTATCTGTCTGGAAAGTACTTGTACTGTACCAATTAATCAGGGCACTTTAACACCATCATTGCGTTGGGTTAACGCTGCAATGCACATTTGTCGGTACAAATAGGACCATAACACAACAGTGTAAATGTGTTCTATGACATTCAATAATATTACTAGTACACAAATGTAAAAATCTCATCCATTTCACTAGCAGTTCTATGGTTAAATCCGTTTAGATTTTTTTGGTTAAGGAAATGTGACTGAATGTAAAGCTATGGTGCTAAGTCATCTTAATATTTTAAATGTTAGTTCTTAAAGAAAGAAGACTTTTGTTTTAAAAAGATTTAAAAATAGTATGTCTGTCATTTGTTGACAGGAAGAGTTTGATACAAAGAGGATAATTCATTAAGGTAGACTCTAGCAAAGACTACAGTCTGGTCTAAAGATTGACAGTATTCTTATAGATTCAGCCACTACAACGAAAAATCTTGAGAACCGAAATTTCTAGAAACAGATTGAATTCTAAGAAATTCACAATGTTTTGCCCTTTCTAAAAACGTCTTATAGCTATATGGACTGAGCTACATAGACAATAGTAAGACTATGAAAAATAACTGGCCACTATCAGCATCCGAGGAAAAGCATTTAATTGAATAAACCTAAATTTACACAGGCAACTATCAACTGGCCATCTGTGCAACTGATCATCCCAATTGTGCATTGCCACAATTATTTCAGTAGCCTCAGTGATGTACAGCAGGGCTCAAAATTTCCACTCGCCCCCTCGCAATTTGCGAGTGAAAATTGCGTGGGGGGAGAGTGGCTTCTCTTTCAGAAACTATTGATAGTAAATATTTTAATTCAATTTCTTTTCAATTTTAAAAGGGAAATGTCAGGGGTCTGTTTGGACCCCTAATATTTCCCCAAAGCCCCCAACAGTAAAAAAAATAAATAAATCATAAAAATTAATAATAAAAATGTAAAATAATTTTAAAAAATGAAAACTGCTCCCCCCACACGCATATTATTAGACATGTGCGAAGACTAAAAATTAATTTCAGATGAAATGTGTATGTGTAATGCTCTGCGTTGTGCTGTGGCTGTATGTGTGTTGTGCTGTGTGCGCGTTGTGCCCTGTGTGTGTGTGTTATGCAGGGCAACTGGTGGCGAGTAACTTTGAAGGCCTGGCTAGGCCAGCTCAGGACCTGAAATTTTGAGCCCTGATGTACAGTACGTGGTCTTTCAATTTTCTAGTCAACCTCGATGGACATGTGTCTTTTTTCAACCTGTCCAACTATGTAACTATGTAAATGGTGCAATGCCTGGAAGAAATAAGACATGAAAATACCATACAGCCATTTTTTAGGGTTAGTTCACCCCAGAAACTGCATCACAACTGCGTGCATCTGCGCAGTTGCTTTGCGATCCGTTTTGACGTGTTTGTGATGCGTTCAGATGAGTTTTTTCCCCCTGCATGTCCCTGGATGATGCCACAATCAATTCGGTTTTTTTATGCGTTCCATTGCGTTTGCATGCGTTCTGATGCGTTCCGGTGCAGTTAGATGCAGCTAAAATAGGACAAGCAGCACTTTTTCTGACTGCATCTGAACGGACTGCAATGGTGTGAATACAGCACGAGAAAGCCCAAAGGAAAGCATAGTGATGTATCTTGGCTGCAGCAGTCAAACTGAATGGACTGCATCACAACTGCATATGGAGTGAACTAGCCCTAAAGCCAAGCATGAGTTGTGGCGGTGCAATAAATACCAACTTTATGGAGCTCATTGCATGATAAATTGTACCTATTGGGGTCATGTCCCCACATGGTAAAAAGGGGGGAGGGGTATGGAGAGTTCTGCGATTCCAAATCATGAAAAGTATGAGAAAGCAATCATTAGGGATACCGGTTTTTAAAAAAACATTTCTGATACTTGCCGATACCAGCATCCCAGAATACCGTGGACCCGCCTTATCAGGAAGGCCGGGCAGTGGGTCATGATTAACCACCGCCCAGCTTCCTGATTGCCTGGGAAGCCAGAGTCTATCAACATAACACCAGCCTGAGGATCCGAAGGAGCCTGGCTTCCTAACCAATAAGGAAACCAGGGTTCGTGTTATGACTCGTCTCCGATTGGCTAGAAAGCCAGATTTACTAATCAGGAAGCCGGGAGGCGGTTCATGACGTGCTCCCTGGCTTCTTGATTGGTCAGTAACCCAGGCTGCCTAGCAACAAGTGAAGCCGGCTTGCTAGCCAATCAGGAAGCCGAGTCATAACCAGTCGCCTGGCCTTCCTGTTTGCCCAGGAAGCAGACTCCATGCTCCCTAGCAGCACTGCCTCTCTCTGACCGTAAGTTTCTGTATCAGAGGTCAGAAATTGGAGCATGCGGCCCTGTACGAGTACTCGCCCAAATACTCTGTATCAGTGCATCCCTAGTAAGCATAATGCTGCAGTTTTTTCCCCCCGACATACGCATCTAATACCATTGTGAAATTGGTATATACCCTGTTTCCTTCAGGGGGCGGAGACTAGAGCTGCAGCTAACGATTATTTTCAAAATCGGTTAGCCGATTATTAAGGTCGGTTAAATCGGATAAAATACGTTTTAAAAAATGGCTCCAGTGATGGGACTACTAGTTTGTATTGAGATTGTAGTCCATCACAGGAACAAACTTGGAGCGGTGGAAGTAAAAAAGAAAAAAAAAAAGTGTGGTGTAATATAGTGAAAGGAAAAAAGTGTAAAATTATACAGCAATGAATGCAGAAAGGCACCGGCTATAGAGGACTACAAAACCGCGCAATAGTACATTATACAGCGCAATAGTACATTATAGCTGGCGGTATTCTGCATTGCGCTGTATAATGTACTATTGCTGGGTTTTGTACTCTATAGCTAGTGGTATTCCGCATTGCACCACTGTATAATCTATTATTGCTGGGATTTGTAGTTCTCTATACAGCGCAATGCCGAATACCACCAGCTATATAGAAATACAACAAATCCCAGCAATACATTATACATACAGTGTATAATGTATTGCTGGGATTTGTATTCCCCTATAGCTGATGGTACATTGTGCTGTATAATATACACCAGAATGTACCATCAGCTATAGGGGAATACAAATCCCAGCAATACATTATAGAGCTCCATGTGGGGGGGGGAGGGCAGGCTTCCAGCAACTTGCTTCTGAGATCGGGCCTGTCTATCGGTGGCTGTCATCCCCCCACTCCTGCTCCTCCTTACTTCTTCTCCCCGCGTCCCTGTGCCGATCGTGGATGTGGGCGGGCGGTGAGCGTGAGGCGGGGAGGAGGTGCGGCGTGTGGATGCAGGCAGGTGGGTCTGGCAGCTTTAATCCTACAGGTTGTTCAGATAACCTTCACCTCTTATTGTGATCATGTGAATAGCACCCTCATACTGAAACAAGACTACAAGCCTCCAAGCAGAAGCAAAGTGATATTTTGATTTTGGTTGGGGTGTAAAGGTCAGTGCTCAAAAGAGTAACTAAGTTTTACTTTTCTATTTGGCCATGTTAAGCAAGTTTTACTGAAATGAAAATGGGGAGTCACCAGCTTTTTAATTCAACAAAACAAATGCATCTCTATACAGAGCAATGCAGAATACCACCAGCTATATAGAAATACAACAAATTCCAGCAATACATTATACATACAGTGTATAATGTGTTGCTGGGATTTGTATTCCCCTATAGCTGATGGTACATTGTGCTGTATAATATACACCAGAATGTACCATCAGCTATAGGGGAATACAAATCCCAGCAATACATTATAGAGCTCCATGTGGGGGGGGGAGGGCAGGCTTCCAGCAACTTGCTTCTGAGATCGGGCCTGTCTATCGGTGGCTGTCATCCCCCCACTCCTGCTCCTCCTTACTTCTTCTCCCCGCGTCCCTGTGCCGATCGTGGATGTGGGCGGGCGGTGAGCGTGAGGCGGGGAGGAGGTGCGGCGTGTGGATGCAGGCAGGTGGGTCTGGCAGCTTTAATCCTACAGGTTGTTCAGATAACCTTCACCTCTTATTGTGATCATGTGAATAGCACCCTCATACTGAAACAAGACTACAAGCCTCCAAGCAGAAGCAAAGTGATATTTTGATTTTGGTTGGGGTGTAAAGGTCAGTGCTCAAAAGAGTAACTAAGTTTTACTTTTCTATTTGGCCATGTTAAGCAAGTTTTACTGAAATGAAAATGGGGAGTCACCAGCTTTTTAATTCAACAAAACAAATGCATCTTTTCTAGGCAAACAATTCAGGCATTGCTACAGAATTCTAAATACCTCCCCAGACAATATGACACAGGTAGTGACAAACATTTCTGTACACATGGTGATATCGTCATACCAACCAAACAATTCAGTCTCCATGGGATGTGACAAACCAAATGGCAACATATACTGATAATTGGTTGCCTTCTATTGAAAAACACAGGCGACTTAATTTTGCAATCAACAAAACGCAAAAAAAGTCCAGACTGTTTAAAATTGCCTCTGAGACTGAACACAAATCAAAGCTATTCCAAAAAAGAACAAAAAACTGCTCTAAGGGGGAATTCCTATCGCCCAACGCCCGAACATGTAGTTCCGGCCGAGTAGTTTTTTGTTTTTATCCTACTTTTAGCCCCGCTTTGGGCAAGCAGCAGTGCCAAATGTAGAGGGGGGAGCAGTTTTCTACAAGTGATCTTGAGCGGCTGTACGCCTCTCAATCACTTGTAGGCAGCCTAATTCTAACTCGCCTCACGTCTCACTCTCCAGCCGCACACCTGTGTCCCCAGTCGCTGTCTCTCCCTGCCCGCCGTGGTCTTCCGGGTCGCCCACTCTTCGGGGGACCCGAGACCATGGCAAATTATATCGGGATGGAGAGCGAGGAGCATAGCGGAAAATGTCCGTTTTGCTCCGTGTGAGCACTGACAGGAATGCTGCACTCGCAGCCTTTGTCACAGG